GGCGGGGGGCGGGCAAGTGACTTGCCCAAAGCCTCACGGCAGGCAGAGCCCAGTCGACAAGTCCGAGCGGCCTTGAAAACGGGCTGGGCCAATAGCTGCCGTCACGCAGGCCTGATGGGCTGCCCCTGCTGAGCCAATGCACGACAAGCCCCTCCGGAGGGGCAGGTTTCTCCCCCGCCAGGATCTCCCAGGCACTTTCCTCCTGACCCCGCCGTAGCGCCCAGCGCCAGTAACGACCGACTGTAAGAAGCGAGCGGACTGGGTGGAGCCTGGAACGTTTCCACGCCGGGGTCTGATCAAAGCCTGTTCATGGGCAGGAAGGGCAGCCCAGTGGTGAGGGGGCAAGCCTGGGACTCAGGAGACAGAGCGAATGCTCTGCTACAGACTCCCCGGGTGCCCTTGATCTAGTCATCTAACTGCTCTGTGCCTCAGTTGCCCCCCTGTGGAACGAGGCTACTGGCGCTGCAGGCCTTAGGGCTCGCTGGCTGTTTGGCAGCCTGTGTGAAATGAGTCTGGCAGGTCTCAATCCACCCCCGCCCAGAGACCAGAGGCCATGAAAACACCACGGCCCGTTGCAGCTCAGAGGTGCCGCCTGGCCACGGCGCTAGTGCTACCCAGAGCCCGCGGGCGACTCGTCTCCAAGCTGTCGCTCAGGCCCCTTGGAACAGAGAAGTGCCCGGAACGGTTCCGCCTTCGCCACCCTCCGATCCGGGGAAACGGCTCTTTGCTTAAGACAGGCTCTCGCTCAGCCACGAATGCCGGGGCCGGCAGACGTCGGGCCAGTTCAGCCACATGGCCCCTGACGGCCTTAACCTCTGAATCCGGCATGGCCTCCGCTTTGCAACCTACGGGAAGAAAACAAGGACAGGGGCCTGGCTTCGCCCCCAACGCAGCAGAGCAGCGAGTGCCCCACCCAGCACAGGGACAGCACCTCGGACCCGGCCGCAGGAAGGACTGCGAGAGCCGCACAGGTAGAAGAGAGGGTGGCTTTAATACATAGAACAATAGAAAGGCAGGGGCTTCCGGGTCCCCTCCGCTTTGCAACCTACGGGAAGAAAACAAGGACAGGGGCCTGGCTTCGCCCCCAACGCAGCAGAGCAGCGAGTGCCCCACCCAGCACAGGGACAGCACCTCGGACCCGGCCGCAGGAAGGACTGCGAGAGCCGCACAGGTAGAAGAGAGGGTGGCTTTAATACATAGAACAATAGAAAGGCAGGGGCTTCCGGGTCCCCGGTGTGGGAGACGCTACGCTATTTACACAGGCTGGAGCACACACGATGTCGCCGAGGGTGTGAAAAATAAATACCGGGGGGGGGGGGGGGGGGGGGGGAGGGGCGGGGGGGGGGTGGGGGGGGGGGGGGGGGGGGGGGGGGGGGGGGGGGGGGGGGGGGGGGGGGGGGGGGGGGGG